GGTGCAGAAACTACTCAGACGTGGAGATGTCTGTGACGCAAGCCTGGATAAGAAAGGACCATCGACCTGTGGAGGAATTTTCCGGTACCATGGCAATGCTATCACTTGGTTCTGCCAGAAGCAGGAGGATTCATCAACATCAAGCGCAGAGTCGGAGTACAAAACTTTCGGTATAGCTTTCAAACAGGGAATGTATTTTGTCAACCTCCTGCAGGATGACATGAAAATACCAATCACACCCATCCTAGTCCACGAGGACAATAAGGCAGCGATCGAAATGGTTAAACAGCTGATGAGCAACAGTAGAACTGCTCACATTGCGAACCATTACCATTGGGTAAGAGAACATGTACGGGATAAGAAGAACTTCAGGGTACAACACCTAAGCACTGAGCTGATGTGTGCAGACATATTTACTAAGGCACTGGGAGTAGGACTATTCGAGAAGCACAGGAATTTCATAATGAATCACATCCCTGATGCAGACTCGAAATAGCACTTGGTGTCCAGTGATCTGTACAGCATGCCAGAAGTAGGGGGTGCCTTGAGAGTGAGTACAGAGAGGTACTACAATAAGTACTTCTGACTAGTGCAGTACACCAGTAGTGTACTATCTCCGTAAAGACATAGATAGATAAAAGACTGTCGGGGTTTTCCCGACAGCATCACTCTTGAATAGAGACAACACGCACAAGGAACTCATCGACGTATCCTCGATAGACCACTGTCCATCAGGAACAGTAGTCGGGGAAAAGTACTACAAACCAAACAGTACGTAGCCCACTTTAAGGCATTGTAGCTATGTAATATGATTGGCTGACGAAAATCGTCGCATACAAGTGTGTAGCTGTGTAGTGTGTACTGTGTAGCACTGTACGTTGTACTGTATGTGCAGGTTTCGCTCACAGTCTTTTTGTAATCAGATCTTATGGCACAAGTGCGAGAAAAGCATCTTTATGCTTTCATCACACCTGTGGAGTGTTTTTGTAAAAAGGTAAAGGTCTGGGACAAGGATAAACGGAGCTTTACCACAGTCGGAGGATCAGAGAGAACGAAATACGCCACTTATAAACAACTTTATGATCACTGTAGAAGTTCTGCGGTGCATAACTTTACAAAATTTCCCCATTTGTGGATCGAAAAAGGTGACGACATTGCACTAAAACCATCCTCTCCAAAGGTAAAACAATTTAAAGGCGACATACACCTACGAGGTTTAGATTCTTGAAATAAATCGTATGTATTTGTAATGGAGTACACTGGCTTTGGCTTTAGTGGTTTTGATGCGGATGCGGCTGGTAAAGTTGAACGCTTTGAAGCAGGCTCAGAGATTGTTGAAGTTGAGAGCGCGCATGTAAATGTATATAAATTCCATCCCCAAGGACACTTTACATACACCCACGAACACGAGAAGGGCACGAGAGACCACGCCGTTAATTGGATTAGTAGTCTAGTAAAGAAGGGAGAATATTTGCTTGTAAATGAAATTGAAGAAGTGACTGAATCAGTCGCACAACATAAGTACGCGCAACGAACTGCTCCATTTTTATTATAAAATATAAAATATAGCAGGGGATAACTTTCTAAAATTTGGACACTAAATAAATACATGAGTACGAAGGTACTAGTTTGTACTTTTGATGAATAAATAAGTACTTAGTGAGTAGTCAGTCAGCCAAGAAATGAATAAATAAGTACGAAAGTACGAAAGTACGAAAGTAATACTTAAGTAACTATTTTTTCCAATAGTTAGAGTGAATGAGTAGAGGTTTTCCCGACTTATTATGAGTAACTAAATAAGTATTTTTTTCACGAGTACGTGTAAAGCTACATGAGTAAATAAATAAGTAAATATTATTAGCCCTCCGCTTCCTCGAATGAGATCTAAACGGATTTTCGAAGGTTATGCTGCTGCCATCCATGGGACTTCAAGGGATAACCTGAACACAAAGAAAGCGTTTAAGTTTCCCAGCCGCGAAGAGCACTTGAAGCCCGGAGGACCACCGCCACCAGGTGGTCGAGTTGTCGACGTCGGCGTGCAGTGCATGCAACTCGGAGAGGGTTACGACAATCCTTGGATTTCTGTCAGCGTGTTCCTGGCCCCCGCTAAATCCGTGTCAAAGCTTTCCCAGTATCATGGTCGAGCTATTCGCACCTATGACAGACAGCTATATGATGTAACCTTTGGCGGGGCTCCGAGACCGGCCGAAGATGCGATACGAGCGGCTTACTTGTTTTATCCCATGGTGCAGGACGTCGAAGATGTCGTGCAGCAGTATCGAGATAGTAAGGATGAGGACATGGAAGCTATTTTTGCCCGAGATCCTGAACCACGTGACGCAGAGGAGCAAGGTCAAGGCGAAGACAACGATGCAGTAGAAAACATTGCCTCACAGCTTGACGGCACGAGCGTGTAAAATAACAAAGACATAGAAGTTACTGTGCGCCGCCTAGAAATGCGTTGTCGACTTTAGCTCTATTCGCCTGTAACGTCTTCCACTGTTCCATCGGCATAGATATGCCTGTCTTTGAGGGTCTCAGTTGCTTGCTCTTCGAGTCTTGGTACCAGTCGAAGATGGCAATGCGCACTTCACCTCGATATCTACCAACCTTGGCCTTTCGGAGGGAGGACAGATCACAAATGTCGATGTCGTTTTCGGACACGACATCACATGCTTTTGTCACCTCATCCATCGCTGCACAAAGCGCAGCCCACTCACCCCGGGTGAGACGGATCCCCTTCTTCCTTATCCATTCACCTCCCTTCTCGAAGCTCTCGTGCAAATCAACCACAGATTCATCTTTATAGGTCTTCACCGTGCAAAAGCGGTTGTTTGAGAGAGCACATACTCGAGTCTCTGGCACGGGTGGTTGGTCCTTAAAGACCATGGGCTCGTTTACTGATGAGGAGTTTTCCTCCACGAGTACTGCTCTGATCTCGTCGAGTTGTTGGCCCTGGGCATCTAGCTTCTGTTGAATCGCATGCCCGTCCCGCAAAGCCTTGGCCAACGCTTTATTCGCATCCAGTTGAATGTCGAAACCGAGAAGTCGTAGGTGAGAAGCGAGCCTCTCTTTGATGTCACTCATGTTACTCAAATCAGTTTCGGCCCGACAACAGCTCGAACGGCAACACGAGAAACAGCCACGTTGTTCTTTGTGCCTCGAAATATTTCCCAGGACCTCGCGAGTGTCATCGAGATATTTGTCTAGCTCCAACACGAGCCGATGGTTCGGTTCCCTGAGTGTCTGAAGTTCCTCGCCGTTCAGCCGTTCTAAGAGGGTTTCAATGAATGCGCAGTCGCTTTCAAGGTGTTTTTTTTGCCCCTTAATTTCCTTGCACGCTTGGCTCACTTTCTGTGCCTTCAGGATCAGCGCGCTAATGATGCTGACCGCGGGTGCGACTCCAGCGACGGCGAAAGCCATGTCAGTTGACGAAGAACCAAGCGCGATCGTGTTCATCGGTTGGCGAGGTTTTGTGAGAAAGGTAAAGATCTGAACTCGATTGATTTCTATTTTTGGCTATTTTACCGCGAACGAAGAAAGGTCATGCTCGCCCGCACACTCGTCTTCCGCCACTCAGAATGGCGCGCACGAAATGCACCCCCCGGGATATCGGAGGAGTATATAAAGCATACCGCTCGGGTCCAGCCAACATACCGGTCTACGTCTTTCCCGGCGGGACGCGTAACTGGTCGACCGTCGCGCCGACGATGAGAAGCTTGGCGCGGACGAAGGTGATTTACGTCACGCGCGACGAGTTGTCGGGGCTCAAACGCAAACCGACTTCGATGAGCGCTCTTTACGGTTACGAACGTCGCGTGCGCGATATCGAAGCCGGCGACCTGTCCGCGACGGATGGCACGCGCGTCCTCCAGGGCGTCCCAACACTTCCGGTGAACTTCACTGAGGCGCAGCTGAGGGAATACCAGAACGCATGCGCGAACCTGAAATCTTCCCCGGACTACGAGAGCTTCCGCGCGGCGCTGATCACCGGTGAGATCAACGCGAAGAAGGCGTTGGGTTTCATGCACCTCGCCGCCGACGCGAAGAGCACCGAAGTTGAGAAGGATGCGTATTTAACAGTAGCGCGGTTCATCGCCACGGCCAAGCACCGTATGCGAGACTCCAAAGATTTCACCGGGGAGCTGCCGGACGTCCCAGAGGAGACGCGCCGTCACGTCATGAAGCTCATCGGCGAGTGCGGCTTCACGGGCAGCCTCAGGAGCGCCTTCGAGTTGGATTTCGTCCGCACGAAGCTTCGCGTCGTCGGCGCGAAGGGACAAAACATGTTTATAAACGTGCTGCGCAGAGAGGGTAGGACAGATGCAGTGTTCTGTCCAGGCTACGCCACCACAAAGGCCTTCGCCGAGCTCGTCGGTTTGGACAAGAAGGCTCGCGACTATGCGAAACGGAAAGGCAAAGAATGTCGCGACCGCTTTCACCCGCCGACGGAGGCTGATAGATATCGTCCGTGGACTTGCCGTCCAAGGATCCAGCACCATCGCGAGCTCGTCCCGTACGTAGCGGAGCTGATTCACGGGTACTACGTCGTTTACCTGACGGATATCGACACACAGTGGCATGGCGACGTCGGGGAGGATGAGGTGATGTGGGCGGCGACCGAGGTGAAGGGGAAGAAAAGGGGACGAGAGTGAACGCTGAAATCACTTTGTAAATATGTATTGCCGTTTTGTTGTTCCCCGCCTTGTTGACATCAGCGCAAGCCTCGATCAGCACCCGCACTCTCATTTCGACGGCGTCACCCGCAGCTTCAAAGGGAGCCCTCGAGTCCCAATGTTCCGCACCCGCGTCTCTCAGCAGCTGCGCCACCGCCTCGTGGCCTTTTGTCATGGCCATGCTCAACGGTGTCTCGCCGTTTTCATTCGCCTTGTTCACGTCCGCGCCAGCCTTGATCAATGCCTCGACCACAGCCTCCGGGGTGAGCCAGCAGATATTGATGGCGGCCATTAACAACGGCGTCGTGCCTTTATTGTCCGCCCTGTTGACGTCAGCACCAGCGTCGATCAGCGCATTAACCACCTCCTCGTCGCCACACCGAACGACCACGTACAGCGGCGTCGTGCCGTCGTTACTTGCCTTGTTAACGTCCGCGCCGGCCACGATCAGCGCCTCGACCACAGCCTCGTGGCGACTCGAAGCGGCCGAGTACAGCGGCGTCTCGCCGTCGTTGTCTGCCTTGTTGACGTCCGCGCCAGCCTCGATCAACGCCTTGACCGCCGCCTCGTGGCCGTACCGAGCGGCCTTGCACAGCGGCGTATCACCGTCTTTGTTTGCCTTGTTGACGTCCGCACCGGCCTTGATCAGCACCTTGACCGCCGCCTCGTGGCCATTCTCAGCGGCACAGTGCAGCGGCGTCTCGCCATCAACACTCGCCTTGTTCACCTCCGCACCAGCTTCAATCAATGTCTCGACCACTGACTCGCCACCATATGAGGCGGCAGAGTGCAACGGCGTCCGGCTATACTTGTTTGCCTCATTGACGTCCACGCCAGCCTCGATCAGCGCCTTCACCGCCGCCTCGTGGCCGTACCGAGCGGCTTGATACAGCGGTGTCCTACCTGAATCGCCCGCCTTGTTGACGTCCGCGCCAGCCTCGATCAGCGCATCGACCACAGCCTGATGGCCTTTCTCAGTAGCCAAATGCAGCGGCGTCAGACTGTCGCCATTCACTTTGTTGACGTCAGCGCCAGCCTTGATCAGCGCCTTGACTACCGCGTTGTGGCCCTCCTGAGCGGCTATGTGCAGAGGCGTCTGATTGGCATACGTGTTCGTCTTATCGACGTCCGCGCCAGCATCCACCAGCGCCTTGACCGCCGCCTCCTGGCCCTTCTGAGCGGCGATGTATAGCAGCGTGCTGCCGTTATCATCCGCCTTGTTGACGTCCGCACCAGCCTCGATCAGTTGTTCTGCGCCTGCTTGCACAAGTGCCTGCAGAAGCCCCTCGTGACCATAATGTCCAGCGAGGGACAATGGCGTCCAGCCCTCACCATCCGCCTTGTTCACGTCCGCACCCGCCTCAATAAGCGCTCGGACAATAGATACCAAATCATCACCCTGGTCGGCGGCAAAGTACATTTTTTGGTCCAAATTCTCTGTTAAACAGAGCACTGGTGTTTTGCCTTCATTATCTGCCTTGTTAATATCAGCACCAGCCTCGATCAGCACCTTGACCACCGATTCGTAGCCATAATCAGCTGCCCAATGCAGCGGCGTCTGACCTTTATTGTCAGCCTTGTTGACGTCCGCGCCAGCCTCGATCAGCGCATCGACCACAGCCTGATGGCCTTTCTCAGTAGCCAAATGCAGCGGCGTCTGACCTTTATTGTCAGCCTTGTTGACGTCCGCGCCAGCCTCGATCAGCGCATCGACCACAGCCTGATGGCCTTTCTCAGTAGCCAAATGCAGCGGCGTCAGACTGTCGCGATTCACTTTGTTAACATCGGCGCCAGCCTCAATGAATGCTCGAACGTCGTACGCACGTCCGACCATTATGGCGAGGAAGAAGTCAGCGACAGCGCCGCCGGCCTCGATCAGCGCCTTGACCACCGCCTCGTGGCCTTCCTGAGCGGCGATGTACAGCGCCGTCGCGCCGTTGTTGCATGCCTTGTTGACGTCCGCGCCCGCGTCCACCAACGCCTTGACCACCGCCTCGCGGCCGAATCTAGCGGCCGAGTACAGCGGCGTCTTGCCGTCGTTGTCTGCCTTGTTGACGTCCGCGCCAGCCTCGATCAGCGCCTTGACCACTGTCTCGTGGCCCTTCCAAGCGGCTATGTCCAGCGGCGTCTCGCCATTATCCCTCCCCTTGTTCACGTCCGCACCGGCCTCGATCAGCGCCAAGACCGCTGCCTTGTTGCAAAACTCAACAGCAATGTACAGCGGCGTCTGACCTGGCCAAAAGCCAGTGTCAGGCGCCATGTTGACGTCAGCGCCAGCCTCGATCAGCGCCTTGACCACCGCCACGTTGCCGTCCCGCGCAGCTTCTTGGAGCTCGGCCCCAACGTCGTCAACATCTCCGTCGTCGCTGTCGTCGTCGCCTTGCGCATTCTCCGCCCTGAGCTGGGCCAATCGGCTTTGGCATTGCTCAATTACCGTCTCGAGTTCACGTATGTTCATACGGAACGTGGGAAGCACAGCCTCCGCGACGAGCGCGCGATCGACGTCGTCTTCGGTGGACATGGTTCGGGGATCCTTTTTTGGAAACCGGGGCCCAGACGCGCGAGAAGTTGCCCGTTGGGGGGGATGATCCGAGGTCGTACGAGACGCGCGGGCGGAACTCGAAACGACGAGAGTCGCGCGCGACCGAACCCGAGCGCGGAGTGGCGTGTGCGGGGCGGGGAGGGTTGTGCTCCCCCCGTGTGCTTTGGTGTTTTTTTATCATCACGTCCGAGGCTGGCGTCTTTTTCGTGCATACGAAGGTACGAGAGGTTGCGAAGTATATACTAAACAACAGGTAGAGAAGACTGAAAAACTCGCACGAGAGTATGGCGAGAAAGTCAAACACAACCCGACAAATGCGATCGCTAAGACTTTCGCCATACATCCGGTACATATGAACCCAATTTTTAAACCAAAATGAAACCAATTTTTTCACCTCGTCCCTTTCGGATGTGGTGAAAAAGTCATTTCATAGAAAAACGATAGGAGCTGATAGAAGATTGATAGGAGATTCCCCCCACTTCCCGTGATTTTCGTCACATTTACTCGTCTTACTTAACATCGGTGTGTGTGGGAAGGTAACTTTAATAAGACTTAAAACATATAAAATCCAAAAATCCAAAAATCCAATGGTTTAGTCGTTACTCTACGAGAAAAAAAAAAAAAAAAAAAAAAATCTCGGTGAAAATGCTTGTGAGTCGATGGATTTTTGGATTTTTGGATTTTTTATATTGTGTAAATACGTACGTGTACAACAAAGTTCTGTAAAAATGGCTTTTCAGACACATCAAAAAAGGTAAAATCTCAGGGTTTTACAGAACTTTTCCCATGTTTCAAACAACTTTATATGACTTCACTCATCTCACGTGCATATGCCGTAGGCGAAATCACGTAATATTAGTGGGGTGTAAACAACTTTTGGTCGCTTCGCTCCGGTCACGGCCGCGAACCCTCTATCATTTAGGTCTAAAATAGACATCCCCTAAACAACTTTGGTCGCTTCGCTCCGGTCACGGCCGCGAACCCTCTATCATTTTGGTCTAAAATAGACATCCCCAAACCTAAGACCCACTTCTTTATCTCTTTAAGTTAGAAGGCGATCGATGAATCGACCGCGAAACCCCTACCCCACAGAAGTCCGACCATAGGGTAAATAGTATTACGACCGACCGCCATCTACCGGTTTCACACCACTTTACACCCCTTCACACCAAAATAACATAAGTACCTTCGAAGGTATTTATTTACAGTACTGTACACGTAACAATTTACACGTACAGTATGTAGTAGATATGATATCCTTTTTAGTACGAAAGTACTACAGTATTATTACTGTAAAAGTTACAATAACCCCTGGTGTACAGCTGTACACTACGTGTACAGCTGTACAGTGTACACGTACATGTTACAGAGCGAGACGATGATTTTACAGTATTAAAAGTGGTAAATCTGAAGCCGTCCACAGCTCCACACATCGATTCTCTGGTGCACGTTCTTGAAACGCCTATGTCTGCCTATTAATTATTTTTATATAAAGGCTTCGTTGTTGACGTCACCGATATGGAATACAATGATGTACGTATTCTTGGCGGGCGTAAGCTTTACGCGTTGCGCAAGGCTGGATGTCAGGTGGACATCACCAAGTGTAAGGGCTTCAAGAAAAGCAAGAGTGAGGACTTGAGCTTTAAGAATTTCGAGGATATGGCTGGTGGTGACTTTTTATTGTACATATCCGATATATCTACGTACATGCATATTAGATCCCCCCCCCCCTGCGGTGCCAACTCGAGGAATATTTCTTTGCTTGAGTACCAGGGTCGTAGTACGTACCTTCCGTATTCACTTGCACTCTTTCTCACCTTCATACAGGCGCGAAAAGTACATCGTGAGTTTCAAATAAGTCGCTATTTGTCGCATAGAAGCTCCCTCGACAATCGATGCTGTCGTCTCTCACCTTCTTCGCTCTCGCACAGTCGCATAGCGCGTCAGACTCTAGTAAATTCGCGCAGACTTGAGCAGATACGCTTTCCACACGATTCCAGAAAGGAACGAAACTATGGAAACGATTCGCCACTGCCATCTCAGCTGCGTGAAGTACGCTACTCATATTTGTCAAAACGACGTTGTAGACATATGGCATGCCTAATAACTTGAGACCTCGATGCTGTGCATTGCTTTTCTTTACGTATCTTCGCTCTGTTTCCCCCAAAGAAACTGGATTTAACCACGCGGCTCCGTTTGCTAGTGCTTCTAGAGGAGTTGGACTATCTACAGGGTGGCCTAAACCAATTACAAACGCTGACTTCCGTAGTAACATGACAAACGCTCTCGGAGAAATCTTTCCGTGATTGATCAATCCTTCGAGTGCTGTACTTTTTGGGCAGTTTGTATGCAGTTCAAATCCTGCGTCAACAAGCTTTTCAACAAATGGAGGCAGAGGCGTGTGACAGTGTCCAAGAGATTATTTGCCGAATATCATACCACGTCGCGCGCGTTCTTTAATTATTAGAGTTCTACTTTCACCAAAAGTGACGAGACTGTGAGGAAACATGATAGGAGTCCCATGCCTCCCGGGTCACGCGGACAAAGAAGCACGCAAGTCCCACTCGTGCACGGTTGAGCTGTTATAGGGGGACTGTGCGTAACTCAAGGTACCGATGTTGCCTTCCCAATCCCTGCCTAAAGCCCAATATGAGCGGACACGACAACGGACGAGAGGATCATCCAAAGACGGATGAAGTTTGCTCGCTGTTTCGCCAAATGTGAAGAGTGAGTTCGTGATGACGCGGTGCACGCGGCCTTCCCGCAGAGCTTGAATATTGCTGTCGTCATCTAGCCAAGTGTCTACGCTTTGGAAGAATTTCGTTTGAAAGCCCAACCTTTTCAAGGTGTAGTCAAGCGCTGCGCACCAATAAGCCTCCCCACCGTTGTACCCGACCCCATTCTGATAGTTATTCCACGTGGCTTCTCTGAACTGGTGGTGCGCAATAACAATCATCCGGTTTGTAACCCAAGGTGCGCACTGGGTCCGTTCGAAAGCTATAGAGCGGGGCGACGCTTCCCATAAATACAACCCAAATACGGCCCCTGACAGAATGACAGCGAGCGCGAAAGTCGCTTGCTTCCGTGTGAACGCAGATTCGAACTGGAGCATGTACGGTGCAACGGTGGGTGCCAGAAAGACCGCTTAAATTCCACCAGGGGGCAGGAACTCGGGATATGCACGTAGTTTCAGCCCAGTAATAACGTGGTCGCCCTCGACCGTCAACACGTACTTCCGGAAGTGCGTGTACCAAAAAAACGAACGACGCGACGCTACTGTAGAAAACGCACACAGTCATACACAACTGTGCTGCAATTCGCCTACCCGACAGCCGTGAATGCACTTCACAACGTCGCCTCCGAAAGATAATGCTCACCGGATTTTACGCAGAACAGCGATTATTCTTTATGTTGGGTGAAACCTCTGTAAATTTTTTATTTGGGACCCAGCTAGCTATTCTACACCTTGTTTTTACATGTTTTGCCCGGATGGGTTAGAGCTCAGTCTTTTTGTAATCAGATACGAAGGTACAGTATACATACACGTACAGTTATACACATACAGTTACACATACACTGTTTTATCTACGTGTACTTCCGGAAGTACTTTCGTACGAAAGTACTTTCGTACTTCGTTCCGTACGTTGTACGGAAGTACTTTCGTACCTTCGTACTTTCGAAAGTACTTTCGTACGAAAGTACGAAAGTACGAAAGTACCTTCGAAGGTACGAAAGTAGTTGTACCGACCTTGTACGAAAGTAGTACGAAAGTACTTTCGTACTTTCTACCTTCGTACGAAGGTAGGTCTCAATTTACCTAGAAATATATGGTGAGTGTATAAACATGAAAGCCTGAGTTTTGAACTCGCATATCAACAGTAGGTTGTACAGATCTACGAAGGCACGAAAGTACGAAAGTACTTCCGCGTAGGGCTACATAAAATAATGTTTGTCTTGTTTGTCTTCATGTACTTCAGGTACACAACTACACATGTACACGAGCGACTACACGTGGAGCACTGGACGGATCTACACGTTACACTAAATTGTTTGTACCATGTACAACTACGGATAATGGAACGAACGAATGAAGTATTATTATTTCCGGAAGTATGATATTATAAAGTATAGTATCATATCCGAGCGATGCTTCCGTAGATGCGTACGGAAATTGCTTGACATAATTTAACGCCAAGCTAAAGTAGCGGCGCCGCCGTTGACCCGACTGCTCGGGATCGAGGCGTGAAGCTTTTCGGCTTCGAATCCAGTTCCAAAGCTCAAGGGTGAAAGTTTTTTGGCGATATCGAAATGAGATGGAGAGGGCATCATATGCCGTGATTCCACTGCACATGCACATCTATCAAGCTAGAAGCATAATTCATCCTTTCCTCGTAGAGGTCGTGACACTTTCTGACAGTTCGCACTTCGATTGAGGTCACCTCGAATTTCTTCAGCAACCGCGCGTGAATGTCTCGCCCACGTGAGCGTCTTTCGCGGCGAATTCGTTGAGGTCGTTTGCGGGTCTGTCGGGATCTGTATCGAATTCGTGAACGTACCTTGCTGCGACGAGCCAGACAGACCTGTTCGGACGCCCATTCTTGAACGAGTGGTTTTTTAATTGCCAAAATGTGTTAACATCCAGGTATGGTGCGTTTGACCAGAGTAACAATACGCGTGCAGCTTTGCAGTCTCCTAAGAATCGCAGCACTGCTGATAGCGGACACAATCTTTTCTGTCACATAAGCTGGCTCGAGCTGGCTCTCGTTGACTATCGCGAAGCGATAATCTGCGTACGATGTGAACTACGCACATCCAACACTCATCCAACCATGACTGCGAGGGGGGAGCTGTGTCTTACTGCTGTTGGCACAGCGACCAAGAGAGTGTGTCTCCCCAAAAGAGTTCGATCGAAGTCAGCGATCGCATCTTCGAGCGCTGACACCAAGCTTGCTACTAAGATTTCAAGAGATCCATCTTTTAAGGATCGCGAACCCTTCACAGCAAAATACGTGATGAACACGTAGTGATCGAACGATTAGCGTCGATTATGTGACGTTGAAGTGCTGTATTGTGCCACGGTTTCACTGCCTGCGAAAACGACTTTCGCTCTGCCGAGTCTGTAATCCAGTGGAAGACCGCTTGGGGCACGAATAAGTTGCTGTAAAAGCTCGACGATAAGTGAGTTAAGCATTTCTTGTCGGGCGGCTCCTCGAGAACGAAGGTGTGAAGTTTTTCAATCTTTTCTGAGAGACCAAAAATAAGCTGAAAGCTCCCGAATGATGTTGCGACTTCACTTGCACATAGCAGGATATGCAAGTCGTCTAGTAGTGCACGCCCAACGCGAAATTCGATGTTCGTATATACTCCTGATATTTTGGCGAAAAATTCACATGAAGGATTATCCATGTTCTCACAAATTACGTAGATTTTCTTGTCGCTCTGTCGACGAATCTCTCGAATCGCCGACGTGTAATACGAGGTTGGATACACCCAATAGTCTGGGTGGACTCCCGGAGACGGATGGTACGTCCCTGAAATTGAATCGTATGTCCCGGCTACTATATCGCCTGCTCGGACATGCAACACCGCGTGGGGGGAAGTTGGGCATTGTTCTCCCAAGGCGCTACGTTCGTCAATTTTAAAATATGTTTTCAGACTTTGTAGTGCACAGTCACCAAGTTGGACAGGTAGAAAATTTGGAGGATCAAGGCCTTGAAAGAACCAGTCAAAGCGACTTTTAGGAGTGCAAGTCATTTTTTCTGTATGCGCCAAATCGCACAACGACACCTGCCTCAAGAACAGTGGGGCCGGATTCCACCCAGGAACCACATCTTCGTCAACCAAGACGTTACAGCAATTCTTTTCCGCAAAGTTAATCATGTTCGTAATTATCATGAGTCGGTTTCCTAAACGACCGAATTTCTCGCCAGTACACTTTAACGTTCCGTGTCGAAAAAACAGTGCTGAGTTTCCTCGTGCTGTTTCGCTAAACACGAAAGTTTTGCACTTGCCGCGAGGAAGTTTTCTCGCTCGGAACCCTCTTTCACTCGCGTGGCTAGATACGTAGGTTAGGAACCACCCAAGAGCACAAGTCAACAGTGTGTAGAGAATCGTTCTTACGTTTCTAGTTCTTTTCTTTCGTCTTCCTCTGCATCCTTGTCTGTTCTCGTTTGCCATTCGAAAGAAAGCGCGACTATATGTACATGTGGAGAGGTTGCCAAAGGCGGCGATTTCTGCAAGGCGACTCGAAGAGCTTTACCTAAATAAACAACGCCGTGCAGCTCGGAAAGTTCTCACGTCGACAAGCCAGCCAATTTTGCGGATTGCAACGAAGCAACGCTTAAACTGCCTTTCAGCTTTAGAGTAAAACTTCATCGTCAGCTCATAAAGCTCTTATGTGTACACGTGTACGTGTAGTACACGTACTCGAACGACAGAAATTTTCATTAAAAATATGCTGTAAATACTCAGGCGAGTGAACACGCGATTTCGTAGCTTTGTGTACAGCTGTACAGTACACTCCTACACTACTCGTAATACTACGAGCTATCAGACCCTGTTTTATTCACTTTAGACCCGAGCATTTTCGTGTAGTAAACTACACACCGCCGATAAAATAATCCCGTATGAGCATTTATTCAGAATTGGCCGCGTATTCTCGCAGAATACGCCTTTTCGCGCTCGGACGCCGATCCCCGGTTCGGGTAGCGGCGCGACGACGGCGCGGGGAGTTCGGAATCACTTGACATCATATTAAACATGTAAACGAGTTGAGAAACGAGTACACGGCCTTACGCCTCCACGGCGACCGGAGAGCAGACCGGTCCGACGAACTTTTTGTGCTACTTCCCCCAGCACCCTAGCTTCGTGTGAAGGGAAACACCGCAATCCTTGTGATTGCACCGCTGGAACGTTTGCTTGCGAATGTCAAGCTTCTCCTTGCACCATGCGCAATCGCCCTTCCCGCCTTTGACCATCACGAAGTGCGCGGCCACGTCGCGAGGAATACTAACGCAATCAGCGGCAACTGGAGCAGCTGAACCACCCGACGGCGTCCGACCCGCCGAGCCCTTGCTCGCACGCTTTCGCTTCCGAACCGCGGAGGCGCCCTCACCGGATTCAGGAGGGGTGCTCGAGCCACGCGCTAGAAGCCCCGCTATGAGCTTCTTTTGAACAGCGTCGCGAGCATTCAACTTGCCCACCTTGAACCCCTGTTGCACAAAATCGCCCCGAGCTTTTCGAAGCAGAGCGTAGATGTTGATGGCGACGACGTCCAACACCCACGACACGATCGCGCCCGTCCACTTTTTGCACCGACGTTGCACCGAGTACGTCCCTCGCATTTGATCGCACTGATGACGAAGGTGAATGGGGTCGAGGGGCGTGAGTCGAGGGGAGAGGAGATGGAGAGAGGAAAATAAAGCAGAACGCGCACGCGTCGTGCAGACCTTGTCCACAACTTTCATCAGCTTGTTGTAGTCCGAGGCAACCCTCGGCGCGGGTTGCGTCACTGACCCCGTGCCGGGTATCCTACGCGTGACGTCCAAGTACGTGGATGTGGAATCGACGTGATGCGACGGAACCGTCGAGAGGAAGTTCACGAGACTGCTGTCCATCCACAGCCACTGGACCAAGCCGCTATCTCCGTACTGTGGCGGCTCGAACGCGCCCTCCCCTAGAGCCTCCAAGGCGTCGCGCACAGCCGGATCCCGAAATGCCGGGCAAATACCGTAGTTCGGTCGGAGCGTGCCGTGCACCTTGATGTTGAACGTCATGTTGATCCATCGAAACAAGCCAGGCGACGTGAAGTAGTTGTCGGTCGCGATGTGAAAGCCGTGGTGAGGCAGCGCCGAGATGAGATCGAACACGATGTCCTTGACCGTCTCGCCCGCCTTGCGATCGAAGATGAACGTCGCACCGTGACCATTTAGCCTTATTCGCTTCGAGGAGGGTGCCGGTGGAGGACGGAGGTGAGATGATGACCGAACGAAATCGAAATTCGAAAACGGTCCCGCCGAGAAAACGGAAAGTTAACAACCTACTCGTCGGATCCTCAATCGCCTCAATCTCTTCCTCCTCTTGCATGTCTTCGTACGGGTCCGCGGCCGCGTAGTCGCCTCTGCCGAGCGCGGCCTCGATGTCGATGTCGTCGTCGTCGGAATCCATAACCTCCTCGCCTGCGTCGCCCTCGCCGGCCGCGCCGATGTCGTCATCGGCGAGCGCGCCGACGAGGCCACCGGACGTCTCCGCGGCGGCCATGGCGAGCTCGCGCATCTCCGGGGCGTAGTCCTCAAGGTTCCTCTGGGCTATACCAATCACATGGCGTGTCGGGGTCACGATCTAACGAGGTTGGAGGGCGGGGGAGAGGGAGGAAGCGTTAGCGGATCAAGTTCTGCGCGTGCTGGAAGTTTTTGCACATACAGCGTCGTCCTGGCGCGGGCAGCGGTGAAAGTCGCACCGGTTGCCTCGGTGTCGTCGTTTCCGAGAGCGTCGCGGCGGCGCCCGGGGCCGCCGGTGCCTTCGCTTTGTTCTTGCTGCCCTTGGGGCGTCCCCGCGCACGGGAAGACGCTCCGGTACCTACGGAAGCGAGAGGGCGGGGAAGCGTCACGAGCGGGAATATTTATTTGAATCGGGACGAGGAAGGGGCGCGGAGATCGCGTGGCGTACCTCCTCGAGCGGCGAGGCTCGCGATAGGAACGTCGTCGTCGCCGCTTTCCGTATCGCTCGGGGGATCTTCGGCGGCGTCGGCGGAATCGTTCGCGGCTTCAGTGGCCGGAACCCGCGCATCGAAGTCCGCGGCGTCTGTTACAGGGGTCTCTTCTTCCCCTCCGTCCATCGACGCGGGCGGATCGGCGTCGTTCGGCGACGAAAACAGTCTCTGGGCGAGGCCACGCACGGGAGACTTGACCACTCCGGCGACTCTAGCGAAGCCCGCCCATACGCCGACCGGCGTCGTGCGAGGAGTGCCGCTCATGCCGCGCAACCACTCGGGGGTGCAACAGTGATCTTGTGTAGTAAACTACACAAGCCTTCGCGATTGATTTCAAAGAAAGCGTGCGCGCGATGGCGTCGTGTGACGCGCGCTCGCGAGGAGAGGAGCTCTTCAGCCGCGGGGCTCGAAGGTTTGCCTTTCAAAAATGCTTTCGGCCCCTGGGATTGAAACTGGAGAGTTTCACGGTGAACGGAGCTCGCGTCGCTCGGCTTGACCCCGGAAATATGTGTAGTGAACTACACACCGGGTCTAAAGGGGTAATTTACTCAAAGAAATATTCCCAAGTGAGTACAACGTTGTAGATAGAGCTACTGTATAAAATAGCCCTAGAGTATTTAGTTACAAGTATCATATTTTTTGAGTAGATAGAATTTGGTGAGTTTTCGGATATTCCGGAAGTAGAATACTGTACAGTTGTACAACTACTCTTGAGTATTTTGCGCTTGGCATGTTTGAGTACGTGTTCAGCTGTACACGTAGATAAAACTCTTGAGTATTTTGCACTTGGCATGTTATGTTTTGAGTGGATACAAGATACTCTTTATATATATATATATATATATATATATATATATATAGTACGTACGTAGTAGTAGTACCATAGTACGGAAGTACCTTCGTACGAAAGTACCTTCGTACGAAAGTACTTGCGGAAATACGTGTATGTACAGCTGTATACAACTACACATACTTGCGTATTTTGCACTTAGATTGCGCTGCTGAAAAAAACACTCGATGAGCATCGCGCGAAACACGCTCTCACGCTACACGCACGTTACTTGCGAATGAAGTCTACGACGAGTGCGCGTAGACTCTCGTGATACGACCTTTTTCCTTCGATTTTCTGTCGCAGTCTTTGCCTTTTCTACGACCGTCATCAATATCGATGAATTTGTCGTCACGATGCTCTCGCCGAAATTCGAACGAGAAACTTCTGTTCCTTTTAGTTGCCTCTCTCGTCGCCTTATTTCTTGTACGGTGGTTTCGACTGGACAACGATAATGAATTGCGTGAACTGGTGGCTACGGTAACAGACGATATCTCAGCGTCAGAGAAGTTCATTCCTTGTAACGGCCTAGCACCGAACTTTGCATCCGCCTCATATGGCGTTGACAGGTGGAGCTGTTCAGAGCCAATTGTCAACGTAGGCTACGAACAGTGGTCTAGTGTGCGAAACCTCAAACGTTTCGAGAGATATTTAACGCTGGGAACATATGAAAGTCAAGACTTTACGCATTCGGGACCAGGACGTTACCCGCTCCCACCTCTCTCAAGATTCCACACGTTAAGCTACGCTTTCGCCGACTTCGAAAGGCGAGAGGGCAAGGTCGTTGTCGAGGTTGGGACTTCTCGCTCGTTTCAGCACGGCAGTGCACCAGGCTGTAACTTGGATGACCCCAAGTGGTGGCACCCTGACAACCCCGAAGACTGGGATTGGGGCGCAGGCCATTTCACGCATCTTGCGTGCACTTCGCTCTCTAAATATTTAAGAAAAGGGCACATGTTCACTGTGGATCTGCTCGAGGCTCACATAGTGCGTTCGAAAATAATGACAACAGAATGTGCGCAGTACACCAGCTACGTTGCGAAATCATCACTCGACTTTTTCAAGGAATATGATACCAGGAAATATGGTCAAATCGACTTGCTTTACCTTGATACCGGCGATATGACACCTGTCGAAGTGACGGCAGAGTTGCACCTCGAAGAAGCAAAATATGTTGTTGAAAGACAACTCGTTAAGCCTGGCGGCTTGATCTTGATCGACGACGTTCGCAACTTAGCGCCTAAGCAATATGGTGAACCTCCAGGCGATACGTACGGTAAAGCAAAATATTCTATTGATTATTTTCTTGAACATGGTTTTTCGCTCGTGAAATCTGAATACCAGGTCATTTTACGAAACACAGTCGATGACATGGTGGCTGCCTTCCATTCAAAACCTATTTCATGGACTCCTAGACTTAAGCTCTTTCACATTTCGTTTCATTTGGGATGTATCAACGAAATCGAGTTCGTAGGGTCGCAACTTAACATTGAGGTTGACTCATTGTTATGGGACGGAGCTGGAGACGGCAACGATAAATACAACATCAATCACCGCCGAGCAGCTAAATACTGGGATCTCCTGAAAGAACGGGCTCTTCAGGCAGATGTTGTTTTAACTTCAGATACAACTCCCTTAGCTCGTATCTTTCTTCAAAATGGCTATCCAGGCAAACTACTGATATGGATAAGCAATCGATTCGACTACGCACACGCTCCACCAGCTGTGCAGGTCTCTGAAGAAGAATCAGAACGCTACGCTGGCGAGCACCCAGAAGAGTTTCCAACAAGGGAGTATTACAATCTTATTCGCAAAGCTGCGCTCTCTTCGAAGACCGCAATCGTGTGCTACACTGCGTTTGAGCATATATACGCACGCACTGTCAGAAACGTAGAGGTCGGCCGACAGGTTATTCGACCGTCCGGGCACGGCTACTTGCACTCACTTGTAGTGAAAAAAGATGGTGGGGGAAAAGTACCTTTAACAGTTGACAAGAGCACCACATTTTTTATTCCGCCATATCACAACGATGAACGAACGCCGACGAAATGTGCTACACTCGGCATTCGATGTTATCGGGGAAGATATGCCGGTCCGCTAGACGTAAAAGGCTTCAAGGGCATCATCCACGTTCCGTATGCTTGGTCTAATTTCGCCCTATTTGAAATGATTGCTCAAGGCACACCGTACTTCATCCCTTCCAAAAAACTTCTTTTGGCGGAGGAGGAAATTTTCTGGTCACCTCCTTTCGACAAAGAAAATCTTGACGCGTCAGAATGGTATGATCCCACACTAGCACACGTTTTTATATATTTTGATAGTTGGGAAGCACTGCCTGATGTCATAGAACGTACCGATTTTGGAAAGCAAATTCAAGTTCTTCAAGAATTTAGTGAAAAACACAAAAGGGAAGTTGTTGAACGGTGGAAAACGGTCCTGATGAAACTTTAATCACAACGTGATACTATTTTCCAGATCGTGCCGTCGTATGATGATACAGAACGATCCATGAGAATGGTAGTTGAACCCGAAAGCAGCTGTGAAACACCTTGTATTGGGGATATGTACAAGCAGGAGCTGGGAAAAGTGAGACCAGGCGGCTCCTTTTTTTCTTCTTCTTCAGTGGATAGTATGCGCCATCATCGATGCCGCGCGTGTCTTCGAAGACAGTGCCTATAAATATTGAGATCGTAACTTGCGAGCCTGCTGAGTTTTATTTGAACCCGCATATGAACACACCGGTTACAGTAAAACGTTAGCTACGTACTACGTAGTACTTTCGTACAAAAGTACGTAGCTAGCTAGCTACGTAGGTACCAGGGGATAACTTATTACTAAAATTTCGACACTAAGTAAATACACGACTGCCGGAAAAAAAGGTAAATAAATAAATATTTCAAGGTACCGCAGTTTTAACTCACAATCGACGGTCTAATTTTGCTCGACCCGCAAAAGTCTTCGCCTTTCGAAAAACTAAGTAAACTTTTACTTACTCATTATTTAATACTATTAAAAGTTATAACCCCTGGTAGGTACGTAGCTACGTACGTAGCTACGTATGTACCCAAGGTAGCTACTACAGTCTTAAAAGCTAGACTTAAAACTAAGCGCAGTCAACAAACATACTTGCGCGTCTCTCAAGAGATTCTAAGGAGATTCTTAGGAAAAAATATATCATTGCATTTGTAGACAGTGCTTCACAGTGTGTCCAGCCTGCAATATTACAAAAGCGAAACGCATTGTAACATCCAGAGCTCCGAAACGACCCTGGTATACTGCCATGCTTCATCCTAAGGCGGGGACTCACGTCCCGGAGCAAGTCAGGTACGCCAAATGTAGTACCCGAATTCCACCGAAGGATGGTGAGCATCAAGTGGCCAAAGGGGTCAATCCTGAAGATGGGGGTCTTCCCCGGAGGACGGCGAATACAATGATCATCCCTGGTAACCAATCCATATATAGTATTCAACAACTGCCTCAGGATATAGAGCAAGGAATGGAAGTTACAGATTCTGCAGAGCAAGGGGGGGAACCAATCTCACAAAAGCGGGATTCTAAACTCTCAAAAGAGGTTAAAATTGTAGGTCATCTGGTAAACACAGATGTAAACTACATCATGTTCCCTGGAATAAAAGGGGAAAAATATATCATTGCATTTGTAGACAGTGCTTCCAGAATCTGCAAGATTTACTTCATGGAAACTAGAAATTCAGATGAAGTAACAGGTTGCTTTAAAAGTTTTATAACTTGGATGAAACAACAGATTAATCATTCGAACCCTACTGAAAGGTATAGCATATCTGTAATGCTCAGTGAAGCTGCTGAGTATACTGGAAGTGAATGGAATGCAGTCTGTAAAAATAATGACATTGATTGTCGCCAGATTGCAAGAGAAGTCCATGAACAAGCTGGAGTAGTTGAACGTCTCTGGGAAACCCTGGGAGACATGGCACGAGCAATGATGTATACTGCAAACATGCCAAAAGAAGAATGACCACTTGCATATGAACATGCTGTATGGTTATACAATCGGATTCCACATCAGAAGTATGACTTGAAGAAAAGTCCATACGAAATAATCTATGGTATCAAGCCTGACATGACCAAAGTAAAAGTATTTGGCTGTGAAGTGTATGAACTTATATCTAAGCAAAGCAACACAGGTTTGGGTCAAAAGCTCAATCCAAGAGCAAAAGCTTTTATGTATGTTGGACATTCGGAGACCACAATTGCTGATTCCTATAAACTGTATGACAGAGTAAGCAAAACTGTCAAGACAGGAAGCATCAGTAAGTGCACTGAAAACGTGGATGAGTACGGGAAAGTGCTAAGCAAGCATAACCACTCATATGCACATGACTTCTCGGTCAGAGAAACTCTGCCAGAAGATTTCTGCGAAGGAAAGGAAGCTGAAAAATTCCTGGTTAAGGTGGTACAGGATTTTGATTTGTATCATGACAGCGAAAATGCAACCACGCATTTGCTGATAAAGGTAAAACCATCCACCGGACAAGCTCGATGGATGTTCGCAACATCAATGTTCAAAAAGAAATCTGAAAAGAATTTAAAGATAATGTTCAGCAAGCTTCAGAATTTCCTGAATAAGAAGGATAGTCAGAATCCATATAGGATTAAAGACTTGAGGATTGCTGTGCAACCGTTCCTTTCAGAGGTTTATTGGATGCGAATTTTGCCGGGCAAACCCCTACCAGGCAAAGATAGAATGAAAACTGTGCATGCGGCATATATATTGTCCCATAATCCAAACTCAAAGAATCTTTGGACAATAGTGCGATTCACCGATGGCGTCTTGTATGAAGCAGATGACAGTGAGTTGAAATTCCACAAGGAAGACTTGCCCAATAACTGTAAAATTGCATCACAAGCATGGAAACAAGACATAGAGGTGAATGCAGTGCTTAACTACGACCTTTTCAGCGAGAGAGGCATTGAGCATTCAGGTGCACAAGTTTGTGCAATATCAAGTGCATCTGAAAAACTTAACAAAACATATCTCAATAAGCCTGAGCCCACAACATACAAGGAATCGCAGAAAACTGATGAGGCCGAACAATGGAAGGCCGCGACTGAAGCTGAACTCAAACAAATGGAGGACTTATAAGTCATTTCAGCAGTCGATAAAGTTCCAGAAGGTAAGAATATTACCGAGTCTAGAATGGTTTATAAGAGGAAACTCACCTCTCTGGGCGATGTGGAGAAATGGAAAGCAAGATTAGTAGCCAAAGGATTCTCCCAACAATACGGAGTAGACTGGAACGAGAATTTTGCACCAACGCCACAAACAGCTGGAATAAGACTCTTGATCGTGTTCATATTGCATTTTGGACTAATGCATATGCTTCAGGAGACGTCAGTGGAGCATTCTTAAACAGCACCCTGACAGAGGAAATCTATTTAAGATTACCAGAAGGACTTAAACTCCATGGATCAACCATAGTTCTGCTATTAAAAGCTCTGTATGGTTTAAAGCAAGCAGCCAATGAATGGCATGCTCTCTCTGATAAAATTATTAGAGAATTTGATCCAGAACTGAAACAAAGCAAATCAGAACCGTGTATCTATTATAAAATCACCAAAGACTGCATATTTGTGCTGTCAGTGCATGTAGATGATTACCTGTTTGGATACAACAGCAAAGAATACATGCAGGGCTTTGTGGCACATTTTAACAAAACCATAAAGATGACAGTGCAACCAAGCATCAACTTTATTTTGCAAATGAAACTTGAATGGTCTGATAATTCAGTGACTTTATCACAGAACAGACAAATAGAAGCTCTTGTCAACAAGTTTGGTGTCAACGGAGCAGGTAGAACATACAAAACGCCAATGGATGGAAAAGCTTTGTCTGATCCAACCTTAAGGGCTGGTGATCCAAAGAATCTTCCAGACGTACCTTACCGTGGACTTGTATGCGCATTATTATTTATTGCAAGATACACAAGACCAGACATAATGTTTGCAGTTTGTTTCTTATGCAGATATTTGAGCAACTACACTGATGCACATTGGAAAGCAGCAAAAAGAATACTGATTTACCTCAAAAATACCACCGATATCAAACTGAAACACACTAAAATTCCAAATGCAAAACCTCTGGAAGTGTATACAGATTCGGATTATTGGGCAGGATGTCAAGAATCAAGACGATCGACATCTGGAGGAGTAATCTTTGCCTGTGGGAACCCAGTGGCTTGGTATTCAGAAAAGCAAGGTTGCGTGACTGGATCAAGCAGTGAAGCAGAATATGTCGCATTAAACTCAGCGTTGAAGGAAGGTAGTTACTTCATTAATCTCATGCAACAGGAAATGGGAATAAAGATCACACCAGCTGCAGCTCATATATACAATATAGGGGCTGGATTTATGGCTGAGCAGAAAATCTGCAACAAGCGATCAAAGCATATTGATATTAAATATCATTATTGCAGAGAACAGGTTCAAGAGTTTAAAAACTTTGACCTGAACTATGTCCCAACTGGAGATAACGTGAGTGACATTTTCACCAAACCTTTAGATGCACCAGTACACCATAAACACCGCAACTCTACAATGAAGTGGGAGAGCCAAGATTCAGGAGCTCAGGAGTGACAACGATTCAAGAGAGGCTATCGTTATATCACATAATGTACGCATAAGTGTACAGTACGTGTACTGAATAGCAATCACTCCGAGATAGATAATGCTCAGAATTCTAGATAGCTCAACACTTTTAATTGACACAAGCACGCTAAACGGCGTACTTTAATAACTGAAAGTACGAAAGTACCTTCGAAGGTACGGAAGTAGTACGAAAGTACGAAAGTACTTCGTTCCGTACGTAGCTACGTACCTTCGTAGTTTATGTATGTGTATGAGTAGTTGAGTACGTGTACGTGTGCAACTGTGCATGTATGTACAGTACCTTCGAAGGTACCGCAGGTAAAAATTTAAGTTGTTTATTTCCGTACGAAATAAGTACGAAAGTACGAAGGTACGAAAGTACTTTCGTACGAAGGTACGAAAGTACGAAAGTACGAAAGTATAAATAGTCTAAATAGTTTTATGGTACTTTTTAGTACTATACTGTAGTTTATAGTTTATACCTACCTCGAATTTTGAGGACGTGACGACTTCTTAGCGAGGGATGTCACGATCACGGTTTCAACTGCTAAAACTTGCAACTTGCTTTTTATTTGTCTCCCTGTTATCCATACCACGCCTTACACAGTCCTTTGGCAGGGAAATACTTCCCATGCTTCATTCGACGATAATGACGTGCGATTCGAACTCTTGCGATATCAGCGAGGCGTGTGTTGCAAACAACAGAACTCTGTTCGTTATTGGCAGTGCATCGGTGCCTATTGTCGAAAGAGCGCTGCTCAGTGTGAGACTACGAAGAAACGGCAGTGTAGCTTTGAATGTCAGGGCTCTGGACATATCTATTCTGACCACGTCAAGACGCAGAAGCAAAGCTTTTCTCATAGAGCGGTACGTTGACAATAACTGCGGACACATCCTAGGAGACGAAGTTTGGCCTGCATTTCGAATGATGCAGAAATATGCGCCGAATTCTGATCGACTCGGTCATGAGAGTGACTTGTACGTCGATCGTCCGAGTAGACCACGATGCGATGATTATTTTGATGCATTAGTCAAGAATGGGGAGGTTTTCGATCTCAACTTGAAAACTGAAGTTGAGTCCAGAATTATATGCTATGATCACGTGTATTTCGGAATGAGCGGATTCTCTTACGTTGATGAGGACCTTGCATATCTTTCGTCTCCAGTGTTTTCAGCTGACGCGAAAGCCTTCAGAAATAAATTTTACATGAAGTATCCGTCAAAAGAAAAAGAAAATCCGGACAAACTTGTCATCATGGAGAAAAGGTCTGGGGACCATCTTACAAACATCGATAACATTAATGAGCTGAAACTGGCCGCAGCCCGAACTTTTAAAGAACTCGACGTCCTTATTGCCTGCCTGGAAGACTACTCAGTTGGAAATCAAGTAGAACTGATGAGTCGAACGAAAATGCTTATCAGTCTTCCAGGGTCCGACGTAATGAACGCGATATTCATGCAAGATGATTCTACACTATTAGTATATTGTCGGTTTGTGAACGGCGTTAAAGAAAATAGCAACGAGATACGACTTTGGTTCCGGTACCTTGTTCACTTACGTGTATTCGAGTTCTGCAGTGAATTTCCAGATGTCCGCCTCGAGGACAACAGAAATGTATGGATTAACGTTACTCGTCTTAATGATACAAAATATGAACAAAGACTGATACCCCACGGAAGATGATCGTCAGCGATTCGGATATGTTTTAGCACTCGCGAGAAGCGCAGTTACTTAGTTGGAAAAGTAACAGGAATATGGGAATGAAACCGGCCAGAATGCAAGCAGAATTGTTCTTCGATGTCGCTGACCTCGTTTCTGTTCTCGGCATCGGCTTGACGACTATAGTTCCGCGCAGATGTAAGACCTTGTCTTAACATGTAAGAGCTCGAGACTTCTTGTAGATATTTCGAAAGCTTACTCGAGGTGTCTAGCGTCGCAAGGGCATGCACATCAAGTGTCAAAATCATTCCATGTCGTCGTCTCATCGAACTGATCCCGTCAAGAAAAGCCGCCCCCATACCGCAACGAGGGAAGCTAGCGAGTTTAGGTCTCAGTGTGCAGGTCTTGATTTTGAAAAAGTCGCAGAGTGGTCCGAAAATCGTTTTCCTTATAGACCTCTCACGAGTAAAATCGCGAAACTTTGAGAGAGCATCAGCGACGTAATAGACAACATCGTGACGAAGTTTCAAATCAATCGACGCCGCGAAAGCGCGTTGGCGCGCACGAAGGCACGTTTTTTTTTTGCGATTTAGAATGAATACGCATACTTCCGGAAGTACTTTCGTATTTTTTTTTCTAAAATCGCGAGTTACCCCTGTGAAAAAAATAGTTAAAAAACGAATTTACTCGCTAAGTCTTCCAGTTTCGTACCTTTTTTTGTGCTCCACCTCAAGTTCATCCCACGAGTGAAGCAACGCTTCGGCTTCATTCGGTGCATTTAACAAGCAGCCGGACATGCAGCTATCTTCGGCGTCTACTTGCTGTAGACTTTAGACTTTGATATCAACAAACACTCAGTTAGATATATGGGTTAATAATGTTTATTAGTGTGTGATCAGCAGTGGGAAAATATCCTGATCTTAAAAGAAAAGGTCCTAGGTTCGAACCCCACAAGGAGCAGAATTCTCTAAATATGAGAAAATAAATAAAATAAAAAAATCTGCCTTCCAAGTTCCGTCAAGGGGGTGTCTCAATATATATTCCTAGAAATATATGGTGATCATAACATGAAAGCTCGAACTCGCATATCAACACTTCTTACCTTCGAAGGTAGCCGCAAACTATCATATTTAGCTACCTTCGGAGGTTCATAGCCACATAAGAAGGCAGGTAGCAAGGTAAGTTACTACCTTCGTATAAAAGTACGGAAGTACTTTCGTACGAAAGTACGAAAGTTTCGTACTTTCGAAAGTACTTTCGTACCTTGTTAGGTACCTTCGTACGAAGGTGCTTTCGTACTTTCGTACGTACTAAAGTACGAAAGTACTTTATTTCGTACTTTAGTACTTTCGAAAGTACTTTCGTACTTTCGTACTTTCGAAAGAACTTTGTACTTTCGTACCTTCGTAAGCATAAGTAAGTACTTTATTTCGTACGAAAGTACTTTCGAAAGTACGAAAGTACCTTCGAAGGTACCTTCAGTTATTAATAAAGTACGCCGTTTAGCGTGCTTTGTGTCACTTAAAGTGTGTTGAGCTATCTAGAATTCTGAGCATTATCTATCTCGGAGTGATTGCTATTCAGTACACGTACTGTACACTTATGCGTACATTATGTGATATAACGATAGCCTCTCTTGAATCGTTGTCACTCCTGAGCTCCTGAATCTTGGCTCTCCCACTTCATTGTAGAGTTGCGGTGTTTATGGTGTACTGGTGCATCTAAAGGTTTGGTGAAAATGTCACTCACGTTATCTCCAGTTGGGACATAGTTCAGGTCAAAGTTTTTAAACTCTTGAACCTGTTCTCTGCAATAATGATATTTAATATCAATATGCTTTGATCGCTTGTTGCAGATTTTCTGCTCAGCCATAAATCCAGCCCCTATATTGTATATATGAGCTGCAGCTGGTGTGATCTTTATTCCCATTTCCTGTTGCATGAGATTAATGAAGTAATTACCTTCCTTCAACGCTGAGTTTAATGCGACATATTCTGCTTCACTGCTTGATCCAGTCACGCAACCTTGCTTTTCTGAATACCAAGCCACTGGGTTCCCATAGGCAAAGATTACTCCTCCAGATGTCGATCGTCTTGATTCTTGACATCCTGCCCAATCCGAATCTGTATACACTTCCAGAGGTTTTGCATTTGGAATTTTAGTGTGTTTCAGTTTGATATCGGTGGTATTTTTGAGGTAAATCAGTATTCTTTTTGCTGCTTTCCAATGTGCATCAGTGTAGTTGCTCAAATATCTGCATAAGAAACAAACTGCAAACATTATGTCTGGTCTTGTGTATCTTGCAATAAATAATAATGCGCATACAAGTCCACGGTAAGGTACGTCTGGAAGATTCTTTGGATCACCAGCCCTTAAGGTTGGATCAGACAAAGCTTTTCCATCCATTGGCGTTTTGTATGTTCTACCTGCTCCGTTGACACCAAACTTGTTGACAAGAGCTTCTATTTGTCTGTTCTGTGATAAAGTCACTGAATTATCAGACCATTCAAGTTTCATTTGCAAAATAAAGTTGATGCTTGGTTGCACTGTCATCTTTATGGTTTTGTTAAAATGTGCCACAAAGCCCTGCATGTATTCTTTGCTGTTGTATCCAAACAGGTAATCATCTACATGCACTGACAGCACAAATATGCAGTCTTTGGTGATTTTATAATAGATACACGGTTCTGATTTGCTTTGTTTCAGTTCTGGATCAAATTCTCTAATAATTTATCAGAGAGAGCATGCC